TCCCATCCTTTCTCTGTTTTAGACTATCAGCATACCATGAATTTTGTATTTTCCAGTTGAGACTACTCATGTTGATGCCTTGCCAGCCCTTGAATGTTATCTCAAAGTCATCTACATTGTTGCCACCTGCTGAAGTGTTGTTAGTTCTATCTATAAGTTCTGTTGATATAGCTGAGTATTAGTGGTCCGATTACTCGAAGTAATCCTTATACACCTCATCCCCTCATTTCTTCGTTTAAGATAATCTATATTCCATTGCTTCTGCATTTTCTAATTGAGATAATTGCTCCCCTCTAGGCCTGTGAAATAGCCCATCGAACCAGAAATTGGTCCCCACTAGGCCTGGAGTCTAGTTAGTTTTATCTATAGGTTTTGTTGGTGTAGCTGTGTATTAGTGTTCTAATTACTTAAGCTACTCCTTACACAGCACGTCCCATCCTTTCTCTATTTTAGACTATCTGCATCACCATGAATTTTGCATTTTCCAATTGAGACTACTCATGTTGATGCCTTGCCAGCCCTTGAATGTTATCTCAAAGTAATCTGCATTACTTCCAGCCGCTGAAGTGTTGTTAGTTCTATCTATAAGTTCTGTTGATATAGCTGAGTATTAGTGGTACGATTACTCAAAGTAATCCTTATACACCTCATCCCTTCATTTCTTTGTTTAAGATGATATATATTCCATTGCTTCTGCATTTTCTAATTGAGATAACTATTGTTAATGACTTGCCAGGCTCCTTGAATTTTATTCCAAATTCATCAGCATTGTTGCCAGCCATCGAACGTAGAGTTTGTTTTCTTGTTGGTAATAGTTATATGCAGTCTATGATAAAGTAATTTTATCCAAAACAGAGTCATTTAATCAAAACACCAGAATTTAGGTAGATTGGAGAATCATTTTATGAAGTATAACCAGTAAAGTTTCTCATACGCAGAAACTCATAATCTGTAAGTGGGACTTTACACTTCATTAAAGAGCTATAAGAAACATTTAAAGGAAGAGCCTGACCTTAATACAGAAGGAAATTTTGGCAGCAAACCAAGACAGAGACTTGGATGGATAACAACCATTTAGTGATGGATCAACCATTATTGATAATGCATCTATATCGTGCAACCGTGGAATAGCCCATCGAACCAGAAACTGCTCCCCTCTAGGCCTGAAGCGTAGTTAGTTTTATCTATAGGTTTTGTTGGTATAGCTGCGTATTGGTAAGGACCAGTCCAATGCAATTTCATCATCTGCAGTCGCTCTACCCCTTACTGAAATTTCAGTATTGTTCACAGAAGTTGAAGTGTCAGAAACAGAAACATTTTTCTGCTCATTGGTCCTGTCATTCAAATTTCCTAGTTCCATAGTAGGGAATCATTTAATTTCAGTCCTTGATGATCAGTAGCATCACCAATTGGTTCTGGACCAGTTGATTCTTTTTCTGTCACTTTTGCCTTTAAAGGGAACGTTCTCCTTGTAGAATAGAAACAAAGTCGTTGTCTGGACCATCTATTTGTTGTTCAGCCTTACTACTACTGTTAATTGGTTCTGGACTACACGGTTTTTTCTCCATCCAACTGCTGCCCTTCATCTTTATTACTACCGTTAACTAGTTCTGGACTAATGGCTTTTACTCCATCTATCTGCTGCTCTTCATCCTTATTACTTCTGTTGACTGGTTCTAGACTATGCACTGATTTTACTCCATCTATCTGCTTCTCCTCGTCCTTATTACTACTGTTAACTGGTTTTGGACTAGGCATTGTTCTTTCTACATCTATCTGCTCATCATTCATATTATAACCATTAATCCATTCTGGAATAGGCCCTTCTTCTTCTTTGAGTTCATTACTTGGGTTCAAGCTTTCACTGAGGTGACCATTTGTGGAAGCATCTTAGTGGAACCAGTCCTTAGTTTTATCACAAAGTCATTGGCATCGTCTCCAGCCCCTGTAATGTAGTTAGTCTGATCCATATGTGTTATTTGTATAGCTGAATATTAGTGATCTCATATAAAGACATGAACGAACTTTATATCATAATCTACACCGGAGATCCAACTGACTTCGGATGCTTGAGCTGTTTTCTATGAGATGATATAATTCCTATCTCGTGTTGTTTTTATCAATTGGATTTCATCTTTTGATACATTTATTTTATTATTTCAGGTCATACGGTATGATGTTCACAAATTTTTCTTATGAAATATTTTAGTACGGCGAACCATCGTGGAAATTCTTTGAAGACATTATTTTATTGGATTGGTTATATAATGATATTAGATATTTCATTCAAATAAGTTTAGTTTTTAAGTTGTGATACTATAGTTTGGATTAAGTTCTGAATTTTATTATATATTTTTTGGCATTTGACAAACTTCATTGCCTGTAATAAGCTCTCTTTTGATTAGAATTTTGTTGGATTTATGAGTGGATGTAGTCATTAATTGTGGCTAACCAATTGGTCGCTAAAGTTTGTGACTTTTAGCGTCAAACTAAGTGAATTTTCTTGCCATAAAAATTAGGATATTCTAGCCTTTATAATTGCCACCAAACTATTGTTGTTAAAGATCTGAACTTTTAGCGGCAATTTTATTGAATTTATCGGGTATAATAATGGATGCTACATAAGCATGACTGTCGTTTTAAATTTGATTTAACAACTATTTTAATTGTCACTAGAACTAATGCGTTTTAGTGGCAATTTAGCAGGATTTACCAGCTATAAAAATGGACACTACACAAGCATAACTAACTATTTTTATTGGATTTAACAGCCAACTAAATTGTCGCAACCAATTGCCGCTAGAACAAATGTGTTTTAGCGGCAATTTAGTTGTTTTTACCGGCTATAAAAATGGAGGCGACATGAGAATAACTAACCGCTTAGGATTGGATTTAGCAGCCTTATAAATTGCCGCATCAAATTGCCACTAAGGGTGTGTTTGGTATGAAGGAAAACATTTTTCGGAAAATGTTTTTCAATTTTTCTCATGTTTGGTTGGGTTAAATGTTTTGGAAAATATTTTTTCAAATCAACTCATTTTTCCTCAAATTCAAGGAAAAATGACTTCCCTTCAAAAATCAAGGAAAACATTTTCCAAAACTTTCCACCAATTTTCAAATTACAACTTTTTTGTTGAAAAAATCAATTTATTTTAAAGCTTATTTTTAAATTCATTTTTTTTACCGCACCTTCACCCCTACCTCCACCCCCTCCCAAAAAAATATTAAAAGTTGTTTTTAAAATATATTTCTAATTTCAATTGTTTATTTTTTTTTACCCCCACCCACTACCCTCGCCCCCCTATCAGCCCCCCAACTTCCTTCAAAAAGAAATAATTTAAGTTTGTTTTCAAAAAATATTTTCAACTTCAAATTTTTATTTTTTCATCCCGATCTTCGATCACCCACCCCCCTCCCCGGCCAGCCCCCCA